GACGTGGCAGCTGCGTGGCTCCGTGGCCATCTGTGCCCGTCAGCTCCACGGGCTCCTGCGCGTCTCCGTGGCCCGTCCCGTTGCTTTGGGCCCAGCGGCGTGGCTTCTGGCCCTGAGGTCCCTCCTGGGCCTGCATACCCCCCTCCCTCCCCGGGCCCCCGCCCTGCCCGCTCCGCAGCGAGCACCGTGGCATCTCAGGAGCTCACGTGGTGGCCTCCGTAAACACATCAAGTAAATAAAAGAATGAAATGAAAGCCACTCGCACCTCAAAGCCACGCACCACGACGGGCCAATGGTCAGCCCTGCCGCCTCGCTCTGTGGAAAGCGCCCCCTATCGCGGGCACAGGCACCCTCACCCTCAGGGCAGGCCTTCAGGGGCGAAGGGCATGGGTCACGCAGCCTACACTTCCTGCCCCAGCCCCGCTCCTCCCCTCGTGCAGGTGCCAGCCTGGCCCCCCAGCACCCCGGGCTCCGGAGTCACCGGGCTCAGGGGGAAACAGCCGTCAGTCTCCTCCCGGCTCCGAGATCTGAAACCCTGATGTCTTAGGAGAATAAAATGTTTAAGAAAATGGGGCGTAAGGGAGCGCTCCCTTTCTCCACGCCCCTCTGGTGAGGAGGATTCTCCCAGCGGGAGGGGAGGAAGAGGAAGGGCGGACGGCATTGTAGATGGTATGTGGGCGGTCCTGCGGTTCCTAGCGGGAGCCCCAGGAGGCGGCCACACCGAGACGTGGTAACTGACTCTGAGAGGACCCGGGGCGGGGGGGTGGGGGGGAGGGTGTTGGTAAGACGCTCACACTTCAGCGTGACACGCAGAGGCCGCGGTCTGCCCGTGCGAGCCGGCGAGGGGACAGTGACCGCCTGGAGGTCGGGCGACATAGGAGGGTGCCCCAGCTGTGCACGCTGATTGGCTCCACGTAGCTCAGGAAACATGCTGATTGGCTCCACGTAGCTCAGGGAAACACGCTGATTGGTTCCATGTAGCTCAGGAAACACTCTTATTGGTTCCGTGTGTGGTTAGCACCGTGTTGCACTCACAGGGAGCGGCATTACCCTGTGGTCCGCCTGTCTGTGTTGCAGCGCCCAGTGTGCCGTGGGCCGTGATGGGCGTGCCCCGGGGTGAAGGAGGGTCCCAGGCCCTGCCCTGACTGCACGGCCTGCAACGGGGTCTCCACGGAGCACTGCGGCTGGCGAGTCCTGGGCGGCTGTGTCGGGGGGGGGGGGCAGCATTGAGGGGACTGGGGGGCTCAGCGCGCCCCGACCGGAGCGCAGGGAGTGCCAGGTGGACAGAATTGGATGCAAACGCGCCGAGCATGGTGAGGGGAACGGGCAGCATCTGGAGAGCGAGGCAGGACCAGGCCTCGGGCTGTGGGTGCTGAGACCACAACACTCCCCTCGGGGGGCCTCAGGGCCTCAGGTTGGGGGGATCCCCATGAGGAACCGGCGCCCAGGCTTCTGTTGTTTTAAAATTTATTTTAATGATTTCAGAGAGGAAGGGAGGAGAGAGAGAGGGAAACATCCGTGGTGAGAATCATAGGTCGGCTGCCTCCTGCACGCCCCCTACTGGGGATGGAGCCCACAACCTGACATGTGCCCTGACCGGGAATCAAACCGTGACCTCCTGGTTCCTAGGTGGACACTCACCACTGAGCCACACCGGCCTGGCTCCTGTGCTTGTTTCCATCAGCAGGTGTGTTGTTCTGTCTCCCCATGGCAGGAACACCGGAGGGCAGGGAAGCCGAGAGCGTGTGCCTGTGTGTGTGTGTGTGGTGCATGTGCATGTGTGTGCCTGTGCATGCCTGTGTGCGTGAGTGTGCCTGTGCATGTGGTGTGTGTGTGCGCGTGTTTGGTGTGTCTGTGCCTATGCATGTGGTGTGTATGTGCTGAGTATGGGATAAAGATGCACAAATGTTTATGTGGCAGGAACACGGCAGGTCTTGCTTATGAACAAGTGACATGACACACAGAAATGAAGGCGTGTTGCCTGTGAAAGGTCACGGAGAGGCCTGATGCTCCAGACCCTTCCTGCGCATCTTAAAAAGCAAAGCGAGTCCGTTTCTCCGCGTCAGGTTTGCAGGAGGCGCACCCTGAGGACCCGCGTTGTGGGTGGCCCTGAGCCTCTCCACGGCGGCCGCGGCCCCAGGGCCCTTCTGCTCCGTCCCGGAGTGATCCGTCACCTCACCTTCCTGTTAGCCGGAAACGTTACTTTTTTTCAAATTTCCCCGGAGACGCAGAGGAGGAGTTTAGTGTCTTTTCCTTGGTCCTCAGCTACACTGAAGGTGGCGGTGGGTGGGTGCGGGGTGGGAGCCAGCTGCCCACAGCCACCAAGGGGATTCTTCCTGAGAACTGGGTTACTTCGTCCGCAGTCTGCAGGGGGGCTCCGCTCTGGCACCTGGACACCCTCCTGCCTCCCCGCTCCAGCCTCTGCAGAGCTGGCTGACCTCCCCAGGGCACCCCGGCCTCCCCCACCTCCTCGGATCCCGCCCGAGAGGCACATTGTAGCCACACTGTCTGCGGGAGAGGAGCCGGTAGCATAACCCACAGGGTTTTCAGTCGTCCCCGCCCCAGCACCCCCTCTCTATCTCCCCCGCTGCACTCCCCCTGAGGCTCAGCGTGGGGAGGAAGGCACACACACTGTATGTGTCCCTTGCCCATGGTTTCCAAATGCAACCCCCCCCCCCGCCCCCAGCCTAAGATGCTGGTGCAGGCAGAGCTGCATGAAAACACTGCAAGGCTAGCTCATCTGCAGCGGAGAGCCGCCGGCCTGCCCCGTGCTGGGGAGGGGGGTGCCCACCCCCTATCCTCCCCTCCCCTCCTTTCCTCTCCCCTCCCCTCCCCTCCTTTCCTCTCCCCTCCCCTCCCCTCCTTTCCTCTCCCCTTCCCTCCCCTCCCCTCCCCCCCTTCCCATCCCATCCCATCCTCTCTCTCCTCTCCTCTCCTCTCCTCTCCTCTCCTCTCCTCTCCTCTCCACCCCACCCCCACCGGCCCCAGCGCCGGGCGGAGGGAGGGGGCCCAGGACCAGCCGCGGTGCAGGCCGGCCTCGCAGGCGGGAAGGGGAATCTCCGGCCCCGCCTGGGGCTCCCCGCCCTCGGCCCCCGGTCCCGGCCCGCGGCCTCCTCCGGCTCCAAACAGCAGCCGGGCCGCCGGCCGGAGAGGCCGGGATTGGCTGCGGCGTCTCTCCGGGATGGATGGGGGGCGGGGAGTGGGGTGGCGGCAAATTCTTTTCAAACAGCGCGGCGGCCTGAGCCCGGCCGGCGGTGACTCGGTCCGGGGACAGATGCCCTCCGGGCGCAGTCTCTCCATGGGGGGGGGGGGGTCTGCGGGCACAGCGAGCCCGTCCCCGGGGCGGGCCGAGCTGCCCGCGCCGCGCGGGGGCCGCGGGGCCGGGGGGATGACGGGGGGCCTAGGGGATGGGGGGCCGCGGGGATGACGGGGGACCGGGGGGATGACGGGGGGCCGCGGGGCCTAGGGGATGGGGGGCCGCGGGGATGACGGGGGACCGGGGGGATGACGGGGGGCCGCGGGGCCTAGGGGATGGGGGGCCGGGGGCCGCGGGGCCGGGTGACGCCGGCTGAGGGGGAGGCGCGCTGCGCTCTCGTCGCCGCCGGAGCAGCTGGCGGCGGGGGCCGAGGAGACACAAAGGCGGCCCGCCGGCCTCCGCGCTGCCCTCCCTAACCCTCTCCCCCGGGACCAAAGATGTTCCCCGGAAACTCGGGGTGCCCCTGGGGCTCCCTTTGGTCCATGTGGTTCCGCTGAACCAGCGGGGCCTGGGCTCCTGGAGGAGGAGGGGGGGGCTCGAGGCAGAGGAAGCGGGAAGGCGCGGAGCAGGGGGAGGGGACCGGAGGGGGGAGGGGATCGGAGGGAGGGGGACCCGGAGGGGGGAGAGGGGCGGAGGGAGGGGGGAGAGGGGCGGAGGGGAGAGGGGACCGGAGGGAGGGGGGACCCGGAGGGGGGAGAGGGGCGGAGGGAGGGGGGCGGAGGGAGGGAGGAGTGACGCCCGGGCGCGGGGTGTGCGAGGCGGGCGAGCCCCAGCGCCCGCCGGGACCCGGCCCCGGGCGGGGAGGGGCCAGATGGGACGCGGGGCCCGGCCCGGCCCAGCCCGCTGACCGTTACTCCGGCCGCCGCGGGGCGGGGGCGGGGCGCGCGGGGCCCGGGGCCGCCCAGCCAGCCCGCACCGCGGGGTCTCCAGCCCCGCGAGGAGGGGGCACAGATGGAGAAAAAGATGCAGCCGGGGGAGGGGAGGGAGCCTCAGCCCCCGGGGCCCGGAGCAGGGAGAGCGGAGCCACGTGCCCGGGCGCGGGGTTGAAGCGCCACCTCCGGCGGCTCCGGCGGCGGGGCCGGGCGCACGAGGAGCAGCAGCGCCCCCGCCGCCATCTCAGTGCGCGCGCCCGCGTGCGCGCCGGCGGGGGGCGCCTCCGCTCCGGCGGCCCGGACCCGCACAAAGGCTCCTCGGGACCCGCCTCTCCGGGCCCGGGCCCCGGGGCGCGCGGGCTCCGGGATGGCCGCCGGCCGCGGGGTGGCCCGTGGCCCCGCACCGGGCAGAGGCGCCCGTGCGCGCACACACAGGCGCACACACACGCGCACACGCGGATTTTAAAAATAACGTGTCTCCAGACGGGCTCCCGCCCCCGCCTCCATCCTGGCACCGCGGCCCGGGGCGGGGGCGGGGCCTCGCCGCTGATGAGGGGCGGGGCCGGGCGTAGCCATTGGCCGGCCGGGGAGTGACGTCACCCGCCTGACACCCTGATAACGAGTTGGGAGAGACTCCCCAACTTTTCGCCGAGGAGCGCGCGCCTGCGGCCGGACCTGCACGCCGGAGGGAGAGGGTTCCCGGGCCGCCGCCGCCGCCGCCGCCGCCCGGTCACGGCCGCAGCCCCCGGTGTGTGCGCCGCCGGGCAGGGCGGCCGGGGGCGCCGCGGACTCTGCAAGTCGCCCGGGAAGGTGGAGGGGCGCTCGGGGGCGGGGCGCCTCCGCACCAGACCGAGACCGAGACCCCGCGGACCATGGTGCAGCAGCCGGCGGAGGGCGCGGGCGCCGAGGCCCGCCTGCCCCGCGAGGCGCCGGACACGGAGGAGGGCGAGTTCGCGGCCGGCAGCCCCGCGGGCCTGGACGAGGGCGACCCGGACTGGTGCCGCACGGCGTCCGGCCACATCAAGCGGCCGATGAACGCCTTCATGGTGTGGTCCAAGATCGAGCGGCGCAAGATCATGGAGCAGGCGCCCGACATGCACAACGCCGAGATCTCCAAGCGCCTGGGCAAGCGCTGGAAGCTGCTCCCGGACGGCGACAAGGTGCCGTTCATCCGCGAGGCCGAGCGGCTGCGCCTCAAGCACATGGCCGACTACCCCGACTACAAGTACCGGCCGCGCAAGAAGCCCAAGGCGGACCCGGCGCGGCCCGGCCCGAGCCCCGACAAGAGCGCGGCGGCGGGCGGCGCCCGGGCGGCCCGGGGCCCCGGCGGCAGGAAGGGCAGCGCCAGGCCCAGGCCGCCCGCGGGCCCCGGCGCCAGGGCGGGCGCGGGCCGGGCGGCGCCGGGCGCGGACCCGGGCGCGGGGGGCGCGGCCAGGGCGCTCCGGGGCGCGTTCCCGGACGACGACGACGACGACGACGAGGACGCCGACGAGCTGCCGCCGCCGCTGCGCCTCCAGCGGGAGCCGGACGAGGACGAGGACCCGCCGCCGCCGCTGCCGCCGCCGGGCCGGGCGCCCCCGCCGCACGCGCACCCGCACCCGCACCCGCAGGCGCGGAGCCGCTCCAGCGCCGCCAAGGTGCCCGCCAGCCCCACGCTGGGCGCGGCCGAGCCCCCCGAGGGCGCCAGCCTGTACGAGGAGGTGCGCGCGGGCGCGGGCGGCCGTCGCTACTACAGCTTCAAGGACATCACCAAGCAGCACCCGCCCGCGCGCCCCGTCTCCCTCGCCGCCTCCGGGGGCGGCGACGACGCGGACGACCTCCTGTTCGACCTGAGCCTGAACCTGGCGGCGGGCGCGGCGGGCGCGGGCGGCGAGCAGCCGGGCGGCGCGGCGGGCGGCCTGGCCCTGTCCCTGGTGGACAAGGACCTGGACTCGCTCAGCGAGGGCAGCCTGGGCTCGCACTTCGACTTCCCCGACTACTGCACGCCCGAGCTCAGCGAGATGATCGCGGGCGACTGGCTGGAGGCCAACTTCTCCGACCTGGTCTTCACCTACTGAGCGCCCGGCGCCCCGGCCCCGGCCGCCCCGCGCCCCGCCCCGCGCCCGGCCCGGTCCCTCCCGGGGAGGCGGCCCGCGGGGAGCCGAGAGGATGCTCCGCCGACTGACGCCGGGACACAAAGGGAGGGGAGCATGGGGACGTGGGGGGGGGGCGTTTCAGTGAAATGAGTATAGTTTTCGTTTTTTTCTGTTTTCCCCCGAGGGTTTTCCTCCCTTTTTTTTTTTTTATCAAGGTTTTTCCTTTTTTTTTTTTTTTGCCCCCCCCCCCCCGCCTTTGTCGTGTCTCGAGGTAGTTGCACCCCTAGTCTGGAGCTGTGATTCTTTTTTTCTTACCCGCCCCCCGAAAAGGTGTTTCTGGAACGGCGATTTCTCTTTCCCGAAATCCGTGATTTGCAACAAAGGCGGCGGCGGGGCGGGCGCGGAGGCCCCGCGGGAGGCGCGGTTCGGGCCCGGACCCGCGGGCAGCACCGCGGCTCGCCAGGGGGGGTGGGGTGGTTGGAGAATATTTTTGTGGGTTTGTTTTTTTTTTCCCCTTAAGAAATCTTAGAGAACTGGTGGTTTGTTTTTGGGTTTTTTTTTTTTTTTTAAGAAAACAAACACAAAATAAGACAAAAAAAGGGACCATTGCAACTTTATTTTGTTTTGTTTTGGAGGAGAAAGCTGATGTCCTCTATGCATCCGATTCTTCACAAAAAGCTGCAGAGAGCTCGGACGCGCAGGCCGAACACGCGCTCGCGGAAACTGTGAACTGACCAGGGTCAGAGCCTCCCTCCTCCCACCCGACCCTCTGGTTTCACAAATGTGACTTGTACTTGCCAACGGCTTTCCCTCCTCCGTGACCGTCCCCTTACCTCCTGGACCGGACGCCAGGCAGCCTAGACCTCAGCAAAAGGCATTGAGCATTTTTGATACCTAACAGACCTCAGCCTTTTTTAAAAATTAATATATTTTCAGGCGTATTTTTGTACAGTGAAAAGGGAACCTTCTTGCTGTGTTTTTTCCAGTAAGACTTTCAGGCACTTCTTCCCTTTCGAGTTTTGATTTTTTTTCCTTTTTTTGATGTTTTCGTTTTGTTTTTAGCATGCAAGTTTGTTGGTACGTTCTGTCCTGGTTTTAAAAGGATTAACATTTTGAAAAATAGTCCTTGCATCTGCAGGCCTTGCGGTTTAAGGGAGGAGAAGGAAAGCGGGCTCTGCACAGCAGGTAGAGGCAGGTCGGATATCTGTAGGTGGTTTTGGAGCCGGTGGTCCAGCCAGAGCTGTCCCAGCTGAAGCCGGTGTGTGCGCACGTGGAGGGCTGTGCACCCCGAAGCTGTGCATGCGGGGCCCGGGCGGGGGGTGGAGACGGATCCCGTCTTTAGCAGAAGGAAGAAGTTCCCCGTTCTGTGCAATATGATCTGAATAAAGTGCAGACCGTTTGCCCGCTGGGTAGCAAATGGTGGCGACGCGGCCTCGCCGCTCCGCTGACGCCCCGCCTGCTTTGTTCTGTTTTCTGCGCTGGAGGCTGTGCCCGGGCCGTGATGGTAACAAATGGGCTGGAGCTGGGGGGCGGCCCCGGGGCGGGCAGGCCGGGCCGGCTCGGTGCGGGGGCCGGGCGGGGGCCGGGGGCGCACGGGGTCCCCTCCTCCATGGCGGCGGCCGGAGCGGGGGATCCTCCGGGCTTCCTCCTCCTCCCGCCCCGCTTCCTTCCTCCCCTCCTCCTCCTCCTCCTCCTCCCCTCCTCCCTCGGCGGCCGGAGAGCCCGGCCCTGCGCCGGCGGGGCGCTCCCGCTGGGGTTCGGGCCGCCGCCCGCTGGGGTTCGGGGGGCGCGCGGGGGCGGGCGGTCCGGCCTGGGCTGGGCGGCTGTCGGGGTGTCGGCGGCCCTCACCCCTCCGGCCGGGGGTGGGGGGCGGCGGAGGGGGACCCGCCGCTGGTGGACCCCGCGGCCGGGGTGGGGGCGGAGCCCGCGGGGGCGCCGGGTTTCCGGGACGGAGCCCCCAGGCTCCCCGCCCGGCCCGGGAGCCGCCGCGGTGGGCGGCCTGGGGCAGGGGGTCTCGTTCCCTCCTGCCGCTGCCCCCGGGGCCGCCCCATCCCCCCAACACCCCTGCGCCGCCCGCAGAGCCGCCCCTTCCTGGGCCGCGCGGAGCCTCCTGTGGCCGGAGAGGAGCCGGGCCTGTGCTCCCGGCCACCGGCTGGGCGCCCCAGGGACCCTCCGGACCCGCCCTCGCAGCGGGATGGCCGGCCCGGCACCTCCGGCCCCGCCCCTCCCCTCTCCCCATCCCCCACCCCCATCCCACCCATCCCCACCCCCATCCCACTTCCCCTCTCCCCATCCCACCTCCCCTCCCCACCCCCATCCCACCTCTCCTCCATCCCCATCCCCCATCCCACCTCCCCTCTCTCCCCATTCCCCACCCCACCTCCCCTCTCCCCATCCCCTCCCTCCCCATCCCCCATCCCAGGGGTTCCTCAGCCTCCAGCCCCCTCTCCCCCTCCCCCTACCGCCCCGCCCCCGCCGCCAGCTGCGCCGCCCGGGCAGATGGCCGCCGCCTCCTCCTCCTCCTCCTCCTCCTCCTCCTCCTCCTCCTCCTCCTCCTCCTCCTCCGGGTGGGCCGCGGGCGGGGGGAGAGGGGCCACCCCGGGTAAATGGGCATCAGCATGGGAGCGGCCTGACAGTCTGCACAGCCCTGTGGGAGTGTCTCGGTGGTAGGAAGCGGGAAGCAGGCGATGGTCGGGTGAGAGCCCCTTAGATCTCAGGATGCGTCCCGCGGGCTGCAGGCCGGTCTGAGACGGCAGACGGCAGGTGTGCGTGCACCGGCCGTCTTCCGTGAATGTGTCACCGCTCCCTCTCAGTCTCCTCCGTCAGCCTCCTAACCGAGCATCCGCAGGAACCCCAGACGGGGGCAGGGGGGTGGCCTCCTGGCCAGGGGAGGCATGCCTGCTGTTGTAATGCTCTCACGGCCTCCCTCCGTCTCCATCCTGAGGGGCCTCAGCCTCCTCCTCCTCCTCTGCTCTCAGGGAGACTTCCAGTTCGCACGCTCTGCGATGCATCCCTTTTGTTAGACAGACAAGCCGCTGGTGCTCCGCGGCTGCGTGTGCCACTGCTGGCAGCTGTGCTGTGAGGAAGGCGACGGGCCCATCCTGTGGAGGAAAAGGGACGCTCCTTTTGGATGTTAGTTGAGGGAGGGGATTGATGTGCAGCCAGATGGCTCGTGGGTTTGGTTTGATTGGCTTTCGCTTGTTTTTCTCTCCTCCTCGGGGAGCTGAGCCCGGGAGCGCCGGCTGGGGGCCCCCACGGGGGATGTGCAGGTGCTGGTCACGCGCCGTCCGCAGGGCGTGCCCAGGACTCCGAGGAGCGAGGCCGCGCGTGGCTCTGCCTCACAGCCATCCTCAGATGTCGCTGTATCCCCGCAAGCTTGACTCTTATTCTCGGGTTTGATTCAGGATGTGTACAGTCTTGCTTTCCCTCCTGGCGGGCACACGTGTCTCTGTGGGCGTTTGGGGAAGAGCTTTTTTTCCGGACTCTCCCACTTACAGACTCTTTCTACACTTCATGGTGCAGGTCCTGCTTTTCTCGGGCCTCCGGGACGGGTGTAGTTCTGCTTTTTCCCCACGGCGCGAGGAAGGCAGAGACCGCTCAGGCGTGGCCGGGCTCAGGCGTGGCCGGACCCACGTCGGCGAGACACGTTCTTTCTCACCATAGTTTCAGGGAAGCTCTTTTCAGGATATTTCTCAGCGGCCCGAGGGCCACGTTTTGTAAAACGTCCACCCGCAGTGTCCTCTGTGTCTGTCGCCTCGGCCGGGCAGAAGCCGAGACCCCGCCTTACACGTCCGACCCCGTTCCCCCGGCGACCGTCGCCGTGGCCGCGTCCTGCACGTGCTCCTCAGGCCCGGCTTCTGGCGGCCACGGGCTCTTGCCAGCCGTGGCCGCCGGCTCTCACTCCCCTCTGTGTTTGGTGACAGGGCAGGTTCTCTCTTCCACGGCAGCTCACCGGGCCCGCGCCCCTGTCCACGGAGCCCAGGCTCCGATCACAGCCACTCGGAAACAGAATCATTAACTCCGTCCTCTTCCACGGTACCGATTTTTTCCTGGCTCCTCACATAGCTTCCTTCTGCCTCCCCCATCCTTCCCCCCGAGTAATTTTTTTAAACACTACCTATCTCAATTAGCTGCCTAATGAGTCATGTCTGTTCCACGTGGATGCAGTGAGTTTATAAGAGAATTTCACAAACAAGTAGTTTTTTAGCGAGCTTAACGCAGAATTTTAAAGGAGACCTATTTTTATACTCCAAAGAAGCACAGCGTGCAGACTAAACCATGGCTTACAAAGGGAATACACGTCCATACTGTTCCGTGTACAGAAGTAATAATTTATTGGGTGGAGATAATCCTCAGACTCAATACCTCGGCTGGCGCTCAGCTCGGACTGTTTCACTGCCTGGCGGGCCCCGGGGCGGGGCTGCGGCCAATCCCCCTTCCCTTCCGGGGACCAGCCCCCAAAGCAATACGGGAGCGGGGCGTGGGAGCCGGGTGGTGGGAGCCGGGTGGTGGGAGCCGGGCGGTGGGAGCCGGGCGGTGGGTCCACGGCGGTGAGTCCACGTTGGGGACAGCCCGGGCCCGGGCGGCTTCCTCCCGTTGGATCAAACATCTTTCCTGCAGGCGCGCAGACGGGCTTCTCTCTGCCTCGAAAACGACGAGAGAAAGCAACGTATGGAAACGTGGGGAAAAGTGGGAAAAACCTACTCTGAGGTCTTAGACATTTCTGTTCTCTTATTGGCGCTACAAACTCTCTCCACAAAAGCGCCGCCTGTGCCGCCAAAGAAGTTTGATCACACGGAGCCTGACGGGGCCTCCGCCCCAAGCTCTCCGGCTCCCACTCCCGCTCCCATGGGTGCCCGCCCGCCAGCCGAGCACCAGGGGGCACTTCCCACCCCACCCGTGTTCCGTGCGGCCGCCTCGGACTCCTGTACATACGTAGGCTGTGGGTTTGAGAGTTGTGCGTTTCCCCATGACCCCTTTTC